TTGATGAGTCATCACCCTCAAACCGCATTCGAGCAAGGCTGCTGCTACAGGAGTCCAAGCCGAGTTGTCTATATAAGAAGAAAGAGAAATCAGGAATAAGGACACTAAATAAAAAAAAACAAATGCAAGCACAAACTCTGCTCAAAAGCCAGATTTGCCTTCAAAACGAAGCTGTAGTCAGCCAAGCCTTCATCCCTCTCGGGATAACCCTTCTCTCAAACCTTTGTAATAGCTCTGCTACCCTGTTCAACCTTGCTGTAGTATCGATTCATCTTTTGTAATCCTTCTCTCTCCCTCTACCTCTCTAAGCTCTCAGACCCTTGACAAAACTACAAAGATAGGAACCTACAAGACGAGCAGCTTTACCTGATAAGGTTTAACCTTGCCCGACCTTCTTTGCTTTGTTTTTGTCTTTTCATTCATTAAGCCTAACAATATGTTGTATACTTCCAGTTATATGCAAGTTATTTCTAGCAATATGACTATTAAACGGCTTTCTCAGTATTTGGATCCGATTTGAATATATCTTCAGTGTTCAAACCAGATCCAAGTCCTAAGCCCTCAGGCATGCAAATCTGATGAGTTAAAAGTCCTTGGCCTCAAGGCATAAAAAAGAACCTTATGTGGACTTAACCTATCCACGACAGTCATTGATAAACGAGAAGTCCGAAATTACTTGGGGCGCAAGTAATCGACCTACCCTCTAGTTTTATTTCTATTATATTATGATTATCATATAACGCTTGAGCATGGAATGGATTCTGATGGGAAGCTTCAAGGCCTACACCTAAGGCCCTACAAAGGCACCCATTTGGATTCATTCCGTTCTGCGATCTAGAGAGTTTGAGTATAAGAACGAATTCTGATGGGAAGCCTCAAGGCCTACACTTATGGCCCCACAAAGGCACCTATTTGGGTTCATTCTACCTCTCGGACTCGGGTAATCAGAAGTATAATAGTTATAAAACTCCTGCAATCACGAAAACAAATATGATGTGTTCGAGCATTGGTTTAGTTAATGATGGGAAGCCTCAAGGCCTACAGCTAAGGCCCCACAAAGGCACCTGTCATAACTAACACGGTTTCTCGGATATATACATATATACAACTAAAACTCGACATCCTTTTACATCTATCATGCTAAAGATGGCAGTGGCACGCCTGAGCATCCTCAAGGCCTACACCTAAGGCCCCACAAAGACACCTCTCAAAGTTAACTATGTCCTTCTCTTTCAGCCTTGCCCGACGAGCCTTGCCCGAAGAGTCTTGCCCGACAAGACTTGCCCGACGAGACTTGCCCGACAAAGCCCGACAGTGAAGCAGAAGCCCGACAGCAGCCCTCAACCGGCGCCAACCTCCCGGGGAGCTGTGTGCTCGTCGGCCAGGAAACATCCCCGACGAAAATTCCTGACGCGAACATAGTTTTGGCACGCCCGGTGGGATCCCCCCTTTTTATCAGAAGATATATGTCAAAATGCCAGAAGATTTGCAAACCACGTTGCTACAAATGTTGCAAAGATTGGAGAAAGCCTCCATGAGTGCCAGAAATGATACAGACTTGGTTCCTTCCGAAAGAAAAGGACTTAGAGCCGGCCAGCCAGAAGAGATGATGATGGCCAAACCTGCAGTTCCCTTCTCAGAAGCCCCTGTAAATATGATCAATATGACATGGGCTGAGAAGGGAAAAGAAAGAATCACATGGGAACCAGAGGAAGAAAGATTGGCTGAAAAACCTACAGGAAGGGTGATTAAATCGCCCGAGTATCCAAAAGCAGCCATAATCAAGGGGATGGTTATGTGTAGCAAGTGCCAATGCGAGTGTGAGCTTGAAATTCCCCCGGCTGGAATCCTCATTGATCATGAGCTGATCAAGAGGAAGGAAGAAGATGAAAGAAGAAAAGCCCGCGAAAAGATCAGGCAGGCAACAATAAAAGACACTTCCCGAAGCGTTTTTCAACGATTGGGAGGTGATTCCCAACCCAAAGCGTTGTCAGAAGTATTTCGAAACCATGAAGTTTCTGAAGAGGCAGAAGATATGGTGGCCAAAGTACGAAGGGGTGCAGATCATCCTCAATATGGCCAGATGGGGAGGGAAACCAAGAAGATTGATGGGATAACAAATCCTGTCAGAAAAGGAAATCCTGCCCACCTCGAGCGAAAATGGTACGTAGTCGGGAAGAACGGACAACCTACCAAACCAATGGGAGCTTCCATGGTCAGGAGGGTTCAAAGGCAGAACAAAGCCTACATGAATTCCCTGAAGACCCCCACAACATCCGAAACCTCCAAAAAATCAAAAGTTGGAGAAAACAGCATCTGGGGGAAGTAGTCAGCTCCGTTGGAGAAGTAAGAAAGAGGTGGTCATATTAACATGTTGCGGTAATTTAATTTCTAACAGGACATAATTCCTCATAAAAACGCAGTTCTTCACGATTTTATCAATCGATCTATTTCATTTCGCTTTCTGAGTTACTATTTATTATTATTTTTCATACAGGTTATAATAGGCAGAAGAGTCGAGTAAAACTAAAATAAAGAGATTTTTTGATCTTGTGAAGTTGGTCATGCTACTTGACTCAAGATTTTTCGTAGGATGTGATCCATAAATTAAGCTAGACAAAACAATATAACAAAAACAAACAATTAATATTTATTGATATTAGGGTGAAACCCTTTCCTAAAAAGTAAACCACGGGCCAAAACCAAAAGCAAGACAATAATATTGTTATTTGTATAAAATTGATACATGCTAAGACATTATCTAATACTGCAGGTTAACTCGACCATCATATGTAGAAAATACTTATATTAAAAAAGCAAATGTTGCTCGTTCCCGACATAAAAAAACGAGTCTGCATGGAATTTTATGCAGATATCTAGCTAGTACATTACAACTATGTTTCCACTATCGAACGTTTTGTTTATGATGTTTTCTCCTTGCTTGCTATAGCTTTATTTATAGTAGTGCTGACAAAAGAGTACTACAAGGCCTGAGGCCACATAGATAAGAGAGGCCGTACATTTGAACCAGACAGGAAATGGGATCGTGACGGAAATGTAGAAGGCAGTGACTCCGAAGAAGACCTTGAAATAATGGAAGAGATGAACTATTATCCGTGGAGAGTTGGAGTGCTGAATAAATTTGCTAACCATGATACAAGCAAAGGCAAGTAGGATTGCAAGACCGAGAAAGCAAAAGGTTAGAGGGAGCTGGTTGGAGTGAAGTTGGATGGGAATGAGAGCCATTCCAATGGCTGTCGACAAGCAGTACACCACGATAGTCTTTGCCCAGTCTAAGTTGTGCTTCCTGGTCCTAGAGCTGGCGGCAGTGGCTGGCAGCAACGGTGGTGGTGGTTGATCAGCCGGTACTATTGTTTCTAGGTCAAGATCATTATCCAACGCGCTGATGAATACCTTATTGAGTAGTTGCTGCAGAAATGCCCAAAGGCACCGATAAGCACTAGCAATATGGTAGTTCATACTAGTAGCTAATAACCCTACACAGCTGGGGAGGAAGGGAGAGTGATGGTTTAATTTTTAAGTCCATGAGAGAATTCATGGTAGACTTTATACACCTGGGGCAGAGCTATGCTTGCGTGCACGAAGGGATCATGATAAGGGTGGCCCTTATAAAATCAACACTTGATCCCTTTTACACTTGATCCCTCCCTTTCTTTCTTTCTTTCTTTTTTTAAGTGGAAACCCAACATTTGGGGAGATTTTGGAATTTGTGCTGAACACGGTGTGATATATCACATGTCATTATATAAATGGTGAAATGCTTGTGTTAAAAATTTAACATCTTAAAAAATAAAATTTTATTTCACTTTTATAATAATATGTGGTATATCACCTGTGTTCTAAGCATAATGAAATTTTTTTTCCAACTGTTTTGTCAAAATGGGGAACTCAAACACTTGATCCGCTTCTAAATTGGATCCAAACTCCACACTGGATCCTCTTCTTTTTGTCTTGTCGAAGTGGAAACTCAACACTTGCTCCCCTTCTTTATTAAAAAACAATACATCCAAGACGTTGGCAATGCATCAGCCAATTTCTTTTTTTCATGTCTACATCAATGATCTTATTGGAACATTGAAATTTTATAAAATGCCTTTTTCCTTAAAGCGCACAGTAGCTTATCACCTTGGAAGGCAACGTAGAAATGTGAAATTGACTAGAACATAAGAAGCTTCCGGTGATTTCAAAATTACATTGTTTAATAAAAGTGAAGTTTGAAAGTAAATCCTCCTGGTCATGTCAATAGTGTTTTGAATAAGTAAGCTTGTTATACAGTTATAGTTATTTGGCATCATTCTCTATGTCCTTGGATCAAAATGAATACGGATGATCTTACTAAAGGTAAATTGGGTCTTGCGGTTTGTGGTGGGGTGTTTTGAGATTTTACAGATTATTTTTTTGGTGGCTTATTCCAGAGTTTGGGATAATCATTTTATGTGAAGTTTCATGTTGTCATTCTTGCTGTGGAATTGGCTCATGCACGGGGCTGACAAAATTTATGACTTGAAAGTAACTCTTTAGTGTAACTTCTTGCTTTGCTTATGAAGAGTACGATTCATGTCCCCCTTGATTAGACTCAACTTTCTTTTTTTCATATCAATAGAATTCTCTTGTACTGCCAAAGTTCTCCAAAACAAAAAAAGAAAAACGAATCTCCCAGGTATATGATAGTTCATGATAAGCTAAATTATATACTCTTGCCGACAATTACACTATACAATTAGGAACGAAAATGAAAATATTTGGGAGACAACATCTTTTTACTATATTAATTATTAACATGATATCATGTGATGTGAAAAATGAAGTAATATATGATAATATGAGTCAGAAATTCAGACTTTCTACAAACAAAATGGTATTTGTTATCTTGGATTGGACTGAGGCCCGGAACATGTTGGGCCCAAATGACCCGACGGGCCCTCGTCTCGATTCATTCTCGTGTTGGTCAATGGTAAAACTGTAAACTGGCAAAACTCCATGGAAGAGTTTCTGCGCGCTTTTCATTCCTCTTGAGACTTTACGCTTACCAATAGAGCATAGCAATTGGGTTGCGACTTGCGAGTCTACACTCCCAAAACGCAGCGTTCTGATCATCTCTCTCCTTAATCCTCACACTGGTATTCTCTCTCTCTTTCCGTATTTCCTATAGTTCTAGGCAGGTAGGTTGTATTTTCCGGGAAAATTTTGTTTGGCTGCTGAGAAACCTGAGGAAAATAATAGAAAAGAAGAGAAATTGGAGTTGGTGGGGTGAATTAAATAGTCAGTTTTGTATTTTAATTACTTTAGAGTTCAATGAGTTCTTTGAATTAAGGTCAGCAATTTGCAGTTCCATTGAAATCAACGGCTTTGGGAAATTAAACCCTAATTGAAATTGTATCTTCTCTACCTAACTTCGTGGTTGTCTTGTCTCTTTAGGGAGATACTGAAATTTATAAGTGTTTGGTCATTTGAAGTGAAATCTTTAGATTAAAAGTTACCAGCTTTGGTTCATCTCTTAAGTTTTTCGGCATTTATGTGCCCATTGAATTGGAGAACAGGATGACTGCAAAGGTTGGTGCTGCGTCGCATTGCTGAGATGTCTGGTACAACGATGACACCTGCATCATCAGCTGGTACACAAAAGGTCTCCATGTTTGCTGCCAAGGCTGGGTTTGTTATACCGAAAAACAAGCTGTCGGGTTCACTTGTGCCTGTCTTTCGCGGAAGTAAAAACCTAGGAGCCGGTGATGCAGGTAGTGGAGAAAGTAAGAAACAGATTCAGAGGAAAACAAAATGGGGTCCTGATCTCACCCAAGATGCTTCTGTCAAAAAGGGAAGATCTTTAGCTTATCAGGTATTGTTTGGATTGTTTGCAAGTCCTTTTCTGGTCATCTTTCGTTTGATACTATGTTATTTCGTAGTTCTAAGATCAAAATTTGTTCTTGGTTTATGCATCTTTTTCCCACTTTACCCGTTTTTATGTTTGGGCAATGTCAAACCTCGCTAATTGCATGTTCCCATCCCCATATAGTTAAAATTTCAAATTTATGGTTTGGAGGGCATTCCTCGCCCCACTTGTGGGAGGAATAAATATTTCCAGCTAGTGGAAGTTCATTGTCTCCCTTTTACATTGGGTATTAAAATGCTGGTTGTGTCTTCTGTGTGAATGGTTCACATGGAAACCTCCCATTCCAGGTGCCACTAAGTGATATTACTGCCTGATTGGTGGTACAAATTTTGAGCAGACTCGGGTGGATCAAATTACACAACAGCTGAAATCTGGAATGTTAGAGGATGAGAATGATGAGATTGAGGACTTACTATCAGCACCTCAAGATCTGCACCACAAATCCTCTAAGCATCAAATTGATACAAAGGTAAAATTCCATTTCATGTTCTCATATTTTTTTTTCATTTATTCTCGATTACTTGCGTTTCTATGTTGAATGATGTTTCTATTCTTAAGCACTGATAATAATATTCATCGATGTAGGATGTCGACCAGTTGGAACTTGAAAAGCGGGAAGCCATAGGTGCGTTTGACAGCTTTCTTAGATTATACCTTCCTGTATGTTTTATTATAGATTGCATGATTATTGTTTTCTTGACGATACTCAGGTGAGATATTAAAGTTAAATCCAAGCTACAAGGCCCCACCTGATTATATACCTTTGTTGAAAGAGGCTACAGTCCCTATTCCTGTAAGTTTATCTTCTCGTCCTGCAACCCATTTCTAATTAACTGTTTTTTTTAAGATGTGTCCAAACTACTGAGATAATGTAAGTTATTTTATCATGGTGTGAAAATGTTTTGTCAAACTTAGTTGTATTGATTTAAAATAAAACTTACCCAAGAAGAACATGTATGTGGAATTTCAACCTGGACTCATAAGTGGCAGTCTTATCATACACTTCTACAATGATAAGTATGGATCTGAAATCTGAACAGGTTGGCTGTAATTTGGGGTTCAGGGGTGGTGAAGAATGGGCCATAGAGTACTACATGAATTCGAAATAACTGGTTAAAGCTTTGCAACTTATGGGTACACTCCGTATTAATCTGGTGGAATAGTTTAGATTTACTCATTTAAGCATATTTAGCATAGCGTTTTTAGGTTGGTTTGCGATACCGGTGTTGGTTTGAATCCTGATAATATTGATCGTAAGTTCACATAAGTAAGAATTATTTGGTTGTTTTAAGAACTTTCACCAAGTGGCTAGGTTGTAGAGAGCTCGTGTTCCGAAAACAGTCCATCTAGAAAGACGGCTATTGTTGCCCATATTTTACCTCCCTGAACTCGCATTGCGGGAATCCACATGCATTGAACTGCCTTTTTAGGCTTCTAGTATGAGCTGACATGTCATTATTTCACACAGAGATGAACGGACTGTGGATACAATTAATTTATTACTGAGTATAGAATGCAATGGGTTGCTATGTTTGTTTACCATTACTTTTATAAGGTTTCCTGGCCAGGGGTGGAGGGTGGGACCTAAAGACGGGAGTATATATTATCCAATTTCATGGTTTGCTGAGTCGGCCAGTGTTTGAATTCTGATGCTTAGATGTTTTTAAATGCTTTTCAGGTGAAAGAATATCCTAAATACAATTTTGTTGGCCTGATATATGGTCCTGGAAGTGATAACCAGAAACAATTAGAAAAGGTAAGAGTTTTGTGTATGCTTATGACGGTTATGCCAAACACTTGTTATTACCATGTGCTTGTTCTGATGATCTTTGTGTCGTCGTGTTTTCTCTATATTTCTTCTCGATCGGTCAATGCAAATAAGGAAACCGGAGCCAAGATTCAAGTCTATGGTACCAAAGCAGGGACAGGACAGAAGGTAATTATTCAATAAATAATATAGAACAGTAAGGAATCAATATGAAGATAAATTTGAGAGTCCTCACTCCTCATCATCAATTTTACTCATTTTCATCCTTTCTTAAACATATTATTTTACGCACAAAAAAAAAAAAAAAAAAAATCCATTGTGGAATGGTTGCTTCGAGATGTGCATCATGTAGTATTGACCTTTTCCTCTTTTATTCTTTAACTTATTTGCAGGCTGAAATAAAACCATCTGATGGGAGTGAAATCCATGGTGAATATGAAAACTTATATGTTCATATATCAGCTGACACATTTGAGAAAGTAGATGCAGCGGTTGCTGTGATTGAGCTCTTAGTCACCTCTGTATCAGTGAGTTTCATTTATATTTTTAAACAGAAAGCTTTACATCCAACAGTTTCTTAAAATTTCTCTTCCGTGCTATTTATTATGATTTCTACAGTTGTTTTCTTAGCATTGTTTTATAATTACTTTCCATATAGGGCAATCTGGCAGCGGTTAGCAGTACAGGTGCTTCAGTTTCTGCTGATAATGCTCATGTTCCTAATCAAGTCCAGGACACTACCACCTCTAATATGGTTCCAACTACTGTGGTAAATCAGGGAATGGTACAACCACTGCCAGGACTGGCACAAACTCCACTGGATGGGCAGTTTCAGTACCGTGGTCCATTTCTCTCGAGGGGCCCATCTTCCACTCCCATGTATATGCCTGGCTTCACTCCTCTGAATTCTTCGAGACCAAACCTCAACAATCCTTCCCATCTTTCAACATCACCTTTCAACCCTGCGTACCTGCCTTCATCATTTGGGCTTCCGCCATCTCTTGTTTCCCCTAGACAAAATCCACCAACAACACAATTTTTGCCGCATACATATATGGCTCCCCAGCCTGCATCAGTGCAAACTAATGTTTCAGCTCCTCTCACATTCATGGGAAACCGACCACTGCCTGCTGGGAGCTCTACTGGATGGTCAAGCGGTCCACCAGCTCCACAACCAGGTGTTGCGTCCATGCCACCACCTTCAAATATACCAACGGGGAATATGGTATCTTCTGTAAACCATCCTATTGCAGCACCAAGTTCTATTTTTATTCCACTGCCTCAAGCAGGACTTCCTTCTACATCTCTGCAAGCAAGAGTTCCAAGTTCTGTTTCTGGAAGTGTTCCAAATATTGCTCCCCTAAAACCACCAATGATGACGGCTCAAAGCCCTGGCGATTTCACTTTTCAGCCGCATCGACCACAGAATCCATCCTTCCAAACAGTTCCCCAACCAAGCAGTCACTTTTCAGCCCATAACGCTTCTCTTGCCAGACCAATGTTGCCGTCTCCAGCACCTCAAGCACCGTCTTTCCAGTTTCCTCAGCCAGGCAGTCAGGTGTTATCGAGACCACAACTCGGTGACCACATGGGTCAGCATCCATCAGCTCATATGTCTGCTGCTCCCTATGCCAGAAATTCAACTGCCACCTCAGTTCCTCCCAGACTTGCAACATTTCTAGAATCCAGTACCGTTCTACCTCAGACGCCACACCCACCAATGAGACCGAGTAACTTCAATCCACCTCACCGGATGCCCAATTTGCCAGGTCCTCTGCCTCCAAGGCCAGGAAATTACATTCAAATTCAGCAAAGCTATCCTGCTCACGCAACTAGACCTGAGATCCCACGTGCTCCAAATCAACAGTTCAACAACCTTGCATTTTCCTCTGGCAAGTCGGCATCTGGTCCTGGAGGAGGACAGCAACTTTATGATCCATTCTCACCCACTTCCGCGAATCAACAGCAGGGAGGTAATCCAGTAAAGATGTGAAAGCAAGGGATTGATGTACACTAATGCGATTTGATTGCCTTGGTTGGAGTTACAATTTCGGATTTAGTGAAGCAGCTAACAAAACAAGGATTTGGAGTTGTTGTAGTCTACAGGTCATATTAACATGTTGCTGTTGTCTGATTTCTGACGGGACAAAACTTCTTCCTAGAAACACATTTCGTTACCTTTTTATCAATCGATTTGTTTCCCTTTCGTTAAAAGAGTACGAAAGAGTACCGCATTTATATTACAAATCAGTTAAAAGGGACCAAGCAAACCGAACAGTCCGGCGAGCTAATTCACTAGTCTACAGCTGCTAAGAACGCGGGAGAAGAAAAACAAAATAACAAAAACAAACAATTAATAGTTATTGATATTAGGGTGAAACCCTTTCCAAAAAGTAAAATACCGGCCAAAACTAAAAGCAAGACAATGATATTGTTATTTGTATAAAATTCACACGTTTGCTAAGACATTATCTAATACAGTTTAACTCAATTATTATACGTGGAAAACAATAACATATTGAAAAATATGTTATCAAATGTTGCTCGTTCCTGACATAAAGGAGTCTGCATGTGGTTTTATGCAGATATCTAGCTAGTACATTACAACTATGTTTCCCTGCCGAACGTTTTGTTTTTGAGGTTTTCTCCTTGCTTGCAATAGCCTTATGTATAGTAGTGGTGACAAAATAGTACTACAAGGCCTGAGGCCACCTAGATGAGAGAGGCCGTACATTTGAACCAGAGAGGAAATGGGATTGTGACGGAAATGAAGAAGGCGGTGATTCCGAAGAAGACCCCAAAATAATGGAAGAGATGAACTATAATCTGCGGAGAGTTGGAGTGTTGGATAAATTTGCTAACCATGATACAAGTAAAGGCAAGTAGGATTGCGAGACCAAGAAAGCAAAGGTTAGAGGGAGCTGGTTGGAGTGAAGTTGGATGGGAATGAGAGCCATTGCAATGGCTGTCGACAAGCAATACGCCACGATAATCTTTGCCCAGTCTAGGTTGTGCTTCGTAGTCCTAGAGCTGGTGGCCGTGGCTGGCGGCAGCGGTGGTTGATCAGCCGGTACTATTGTTTCTGGGTCAACATTATTATCCAACGCGTTGATGACCTTGTTGAGTTGTTGCTGAAAAAATGCCCGAAGGCACCGATAAGCACTAGCAATATAGTACTTCATACTTGTTTGCTAATAAGGAGGGAGAGTGATGGAACCCTAAACAGTTTTGGTGGTGGGTGGTTTTGGAGGGTGAGAAGAGGGAGGAAACTGTGTGTGAGTGGGAGTTTTTTTTTTTTTTTTGGGGTGGGGTTGGTGAGAATGAGGATAACTTCGGAACTCTAGGATAATGGGCGTTTTAGGGCGGGATCTAAAGGGGGGGGCGGGGGTGTGGGAGTGACAGGAGAGGGAGAAAACTGTGTGTGAGTGACACCGTGGGAGGGGTGGGAGTCACAGGAGAAGCGGGGAGAAAGCTGTGTGAGGGAGAAAAAGCGGGGGCGGGGCGGGAGTTTTATGGGGTTTTATGGGGGAAGCAAACAAAACAAGTCACCACTAAAGTCTCATACAACTTCGCAAGTATATATGGGAGAAGAAGCAAACAAAATAGGTTAGATGAGAAACATTTTTGTACTATATTAATAATGTATCATGTGATGTGGAAAGTGAAGTGTACATATCACGATAATAAAACATAAATTTGTGTGTATCAGTTCAGAAATTTAGACTTTAATTTCCACAAAATTTGGCTTATTAATTGAAATGCCCCATGAAACAGACTTTTTTTGTCTCACTTTCCCCATTCTGTTAAATAACTGTTAAATCTAAGGATATTTTAGACATTTTAGTTTTTACACATCTATTTACCTCTAGCATACCCACTAAACCAATCTCAATTCCAATTTTAACAACTGTAATTCAAATTCATGAATTTTGAGCCTTTAAAAAAAATAAATTATTCAATAAATAAAAAAAATTTGAGTAACAAAATCATTATATCAATCAAAATAAGGGTTATATTTTTTTTTCTTAGAGTTATTTCAATTGCAAAGCATCATGTATTGGCTTGAAACTTTGCACTTAAAAAATACTCATTACGACAAAAAAGAATCATGATATGCCTATTTCAAGATATTTTTCTAATTAAAATTGGCCTAACCATAAGTTTCACCCATTAAAAAATGATCTAAGATCATTTGCAACAAATATAATCTCAAAAACCATTAAGCTATCATTTCCAAAATACTTCCCATACAAAAAAAAATCATCTAAAGAAAATGTGCACAGTTTGCAACCAAAAGTTTCACATTGTTGCTCAAAATTTTTCTATCGACTGAGAATTTATTTTAAAAAGGCCCTAACGCTTGAGGTTTGAATTAGAGTCGTCAAAAATGTATTTGTGATCGGTTTAGTGTGTGATCTAGAGGCAAATAGATGTATAAAAAGTCTAAAATCTAAAATATCCTGGAATTGAACAGTTCTTTAACGTGACGGGTTAAGTGAGACAAAAAGAGTTGAAAATGTCAGTTTCAAGATAACAAAGTGAGATAAAATCAGTTTCAGTAAGTAAACTGAGACTACTAAATGATAGTTTTAAAAGACATTACAATTAATAAGCCTGTAAAAGTTTAATGTCCTCGTTCAAACAGAATTGAGCGGTGAATGTAGTGATTTGTTATCTTGGATTGGACTGAGGCCCGGAACATATTTGAGCCCACCAAAGAACCCAACGGGCCCTCGTCTCGATTCACTCTCGTGTTGGCCAAGTGTGGAACTGTAAAAACTCCATGGAGTTTCTGCGCGCTTTTCATTCCTCTGAGACTTTACACTTATCGGAAGAGCAGAGAGCAATTGGGTTGCGACTTGCGAGTCTACACTCCCAAAACGCAGCATTCTGATCATCCCTCTCCTTAATCCTCACACTGTTATTCTCTCTCTCTCTCTCTCTCTCTCTCTCTCTCTCTGTATTTCCTATTGTTTTAGGCAGGTAGGTTGTCCTTTTCCCAGAAAATTTTGTTTTTCAGAGGAAAACAAAATGGGGCTCTGATCTCACCCAAGATGCTTCTATCAAAAAGGGAAGAGCTTTAGCTTATCAGGTATTGTTTGTATTGTTTGCAAGTCCTTTTCAGGTCATCTTTCGTTTGATACTATGTTATTTCGTAGTTCTAAGATCAAAATTTGCTCCTGGTTTATGTATCTTTTTCCCACTTTACCCGTTTTGTGTTTGCGCAATGTCAAACCTCTCTAATTGCAAGTTCGATGTTCCCAACCTCTGGCAAGTCAGCGTCTCAACAGCAGGGAGGACAGCAACTTTACGTTCCATTCTCGCCCACTTCCGCGGCTGTTGGGCTCAACAGCAGGGAGGTAATCCAGAAAAGTTGTGAAAGCAAGACTATGATCTATACTAATGGGATTTGATTGCCTTGGTCGGAGCAATACAATTTAGGATTTAGTGAAGCAGGTGACAAAACATGTTGTTGCTGTAATCTGATTTAAGATAGGACAAAACTTCTTCATAGAAAACACATTTCCTCACCTTTTTATCATTCCATTTGTTTCCCTTTCGCTTTCCAAATTACTATTTATTATTGTTTGTTATACAAGCAATGATGGGGAAGGGGGGTTTTGAACTTAGAACCTCAGGTGTAAGGGTAAAAATGCTCTTACCCTCTTGAGCGACAAGCCCATTGCCTTTCCATTTCCATGTTGATTGGCTTATTCTCGACACATTAATTGAATGCATTACTAGCTCACGAGTTGCTAAAATAAAATAAAAGATTAAGTTTAAGCGGTCTTGTTAAAATCTTGCTCGGAGAAACCCCAGTGGGAAAAACTCCAAATTTAGAAGAAAGAGTAGCACACTTACATTACAAATCATTGAAAAGGGACCAAGCAAACATAGCAATCTGGAGAATACACTAGAGTTGCGAGGAACGCGAGAACAAACCTTGGCCTAGAAATAGCCTGGAACTCAAGAATGAGATCGAATCGACCATCAGCTTCAAATCATCTTCCAATCTATATCTATGTAAGGGATGTGGGATATTTTGTGCTAGTAGCGTCATTTTCCTGGTTGACATCTCTCTTTTAGCATAGGACACCCATAGATGCAAATTTCCGTAAGTGAAAGAGGCAGTCCCTCCTTTGGAATGGATGCTAGCTTTGGACAATCCCAGAGTTCCAAAGATTCAAGGGAGATTAGGAATTGAAAGCCCTTACTGCTCAATTTCTTCAGATTCTATAAGCCACCAATTGAGAGTTCAGTGAGAGATTTGGGGAGTAACATCTCCATCCGGACCATGTCCGGTGGAAACGATACCATATCCAGGTCTTCACCACCGATCCACAAGTATCTAAGGGAGGACACTTGTGATTAGCAAGTGCATATTCAGTGTGTCGTGTGTGTTTTCTCTATATTTCATTTTGATCGGCGCAAATAAGGAAACCGGAGCCAAAATTCATGTCTCTGGTACCAAAGCAGGGACAGGACATAACGTAAATATTCAGTAAATAATATAGAACAGTAAGGAATCAATATCAAGATAAATTTGGGAGTCTTCATCATCAATTTTACTCATTTTCATCTTTTCTTAAACTATTATTTTACGGAAAAAAATCTATTGTGGAATGGTTGGTTCGAGATGTGACATAATGCTCATACGTACGTACATGCATTGACCTTCCCTTCTTTTATTCTTTTAACTTATTTGCAGGCTGAAATAAAATCATCTGATGGGAGTGAAGTCCAGGGTGAATATGAAAACTTATACGTTCATATATCAGCTGACACATTTGAGAAAGTAGATGCAGCGGTTGCCGTAATTGAACTCTTAGGGTTGGTTTGGTATTGATGTGTTTTGAAAAAAAACTGCTTATGTTGTGTTGTGAAAATAAGTGGCTGTAAAATAAAGCAGCAGAGTGTTTGGTAAACTTTTTTGTAAGAGTGCTTTTAGAAAAAAAGCAGTATGATAGTATTTGGTAAACTTTTATGTAAAACAGCTGTAAATGTGTGAAATGATTAAAAAATATATAATACTAAATGTGCTATTAATTTAATTTTTTTAACAAATATAGGTTAATTTTCTTTACAATTTTTAATCCACTATTGCCATTTTTTTTATTTCATTCCAGCATTATCTAGTCATTATTCTTACAATATTTTAATCCACTTTTGCCATTTTTTATTCCATTCAATTATCCTTGGTATTCTTCTTCAATGATATAACTGCAAGCACTCCATTCAAATCCTCTCTCTCTCTCTCTCTCTCTCTGAAAAGCTCAAATCACCTTCTTCTTTTTTTTTTGTGAAAAATCCCAGATCAAAATTCTTCATTTTCGCCGCCACCGGGGTGCCCCGGTCCCGATCGACCGAAACCGGCGCTATGCAGCACAGCGGGTTCATCTTCAACCCCAATCAGACCATCCAATCAGACAAAAAGCGAATTCGATCATTGTAATCCGAATCCCTTCCAGCTCCGATTTATACAAATGCAGGACCCGATCCGAAGCCAAAACGAACCTTAAAGACTCGGAGCTTCTGGTTCTAGAGAGAAAGAAGAGAGAGAGACAGAGACTCGTGAAGAGCTCTGCGCGGCAAGAAGGAGAAATGGAGGAGGGTATTTCTGGATTCTCAGCCAGGCAGTCAGGTGTTATCGAGACCACAACTCGGTGACCACATGGGTCAGCATCCATCAGCTCATATGTCTGCTGCTCCCTATGCCAGAAATTCAACTGCCATCTCAGTTCCTCCCAGACTCGCAACATTTCTAGAATCCAGTACCGTTCTACCTCAGACGCCATACCCACCAATGAGACGGAGTAACTTCAATCCACCTCACCAGATGCCCAATTTGCCAGGTCCTCTGCCTCCAAGGCCAGGAAATTATATTCAAATTCAGCAAAACTATCCTGCTCACGCAACTCGACCTGAGATCCCACGTGCTCCAAATCAACAGTTCAGCAACCACCTTGCATTTTCCTCTGGCAAGTCGGCGTCTGGTCCTGGAGGAGGACAGCAACTTTATGATCCATTCTCACCCACTTCCGCGAATCAACAGCAAGGAGGTAATCCAGGAAAGATGTGAAAGCAAGGGATTGATGTACACTAATGCGATTTGATTGCCTTGGTTGGAGTTACAATTTCGGATTTAGTGAAGCAGCTAACAAAACAAGAATTTGGAGTTGTTGTAGTCTATAGCTCATATTAACATGTTGCTGTTGTCTGATTTCTGACGGGACAAAACTTCTTCATAGAAACACATTTCGTTACCTTTTTATCAATCAATTTGTTTCCCTTTCGTTAAAAGAGTACGAAAGAGTACCGCATTTATATTACAAATCAGTTAAAAGGGACCAAGCAAACCGAACAGTCCGGCGAGCTAATTCACTAGTCTACAGCTGCTAAGAACGCGGGTGAAGAAAAACAAAATAACAAAAACAAACAATTAATATTTATTGATATTAGGGTGAAACCCTTTCCAAAAAGTAAAATACCGGCCAAAACTAAAAGCAAGACAATAATATTGTTACTTGTATAAAATTCACAAGCTTGATAAGACTTTATCTAATACAGTTTAACTTGATCGTTATATGTGGAAAACAATTACATATGAAAAATATGTTATCAAATGTTGCTCGTTCCTGACATAAAGGAGTCTGCATGTGATTTTATGCAGATATCTAGCTAGTACATTACAACTATGCTTCCCTGCCGATCGTTTTGTTTTTGAGGTTTTCTCCTTGCTTGCAATAGCCTTATGTATAGTAGTGATGACAAAACAGTACTACGAGGCCTGAGGCCACATAGATGACAGAGGCCGTACATTTGAACCAGACAGGAAATGGGATTGTGACGGAAATGAAGAAAGCGGTGACTCCAAAGAAGACCCCGAAATAATGGAAGAGATGAACTATTCTCCGTGGAGAGTTGGAGTGCTGGATAAATTTGCTAACCATTATACAAGTAAAGGCTAGTAGGATTGCGAGACCGAGAACGCAAAAAGTTAGAGGGAGATGGTCGGAATGAAGTTGGATGGGAACGAGAGCCATTCCAATAGCTGTCGACAAGCAATACGCCATGATAATCTTTGCCCAGTCTAAGTTGTGCTTCGAAGTCCTAGAGCTGGTGGCCGTGGCTGGCCGCAGCGGTGGTTGATCAGCCGGTACTATTGCTTCTGGGTCAAGATTATTATCCAACGCGTTGATGACCTTGTTGAGTTGTTGCTGAAAAAATGCCCGAAGGCACCGATAAGCACTAGCAATATTGTTCTTCATACTTGTTTGCTAATAAGGAAGGGGAGAAGGGGGGAGGAGTTGGTTTAGAAAGAGGCGCAGGAAGGATGTCTGGAGAGGGGAGGGGGGGGGGGTGGTTATACACTTCATGATGGGGCCCGGGGGGGATAAAGTGCGACGGTGGGGACAAAAAAGCAAAGAATGAGACACCACATCCCCTAAAATAAATTGTAGAACAGGAGTCGTAGCAGGAGTCGTAGCAAATAATGAGACACCACATCCCCTTAAATGAATCGTTACTCGGGTAGAGTAGACTAGTAGAGCATCAACCTGCCAAAAATGGGGCCCGGGAGAGACAAAGAGTGTCTGGGGCCGGAGAGGATCCTCTCCTGAGCAGATGGAGATATCCTCCTGATCAGATCCATCGTTCAATTTTTATTCAACGATTATAATTATTATAACTTTATAAAGATTCCTTATTTGTAACCGTTGGATAAAAATTAAACGGTCTGATGGACCTGATCAAAAGGATCCTCTCCATTAGCTCAGGAGAGGATCCTGATCCTCTGGGGCAAGTGAGATGCCACTGTGGCAGAGGCTTGGGAAAGAACGAGGAAAGGAGGCGGGACCCATGAAGTGATCAATTTACGGGGTGGGACCCATGAAGTCATGAATTGATCATTTTACTGGGTGGGACCCATGAAGTGATGAAGTGATCATTTTACGTTACGGGGTGGGACCATGAAGTGATCAACTTATGGGCTTGATCTAGAGATCCTAAGGATTCCGTGATTATGATCGTTCAATGTATATCGTATGATTATAAATTATTTTAAAATTTAAAATTTAAAATTAATTATAAATAGTACTTAACAAAAAACTGATCACAAGATATACAATGAACGGTTGCGATCACGGATTCCGAATAAATGAATCTGTCAAGGATCCTTTTCCACGGGGTGGCACCATGAAGTGATTATTTTACAGGGTGGGGCCCTTTCTTTTAATTTGTTTTGTCAAAGTGGAAACGATCCCCCTCTTTTTATCCTTTATTTTTGATAGTTTTGTTTCTGATCATCCCTTTTTTATTCTTTATTTTTTATAGTTTTGTTTTGTCAAAGTGCAAACGATCCCCCTTTTTTTATTCTATTCTTTATTTTTAGGACAATTCAGGACACTTCATACTGCCCATTCTATGTGGCACAATAAGAACTTAACACGTGTAACTTTAAAAAAAAAAAAGAACCGAGCCTTGTTAACGGCGTCTTCTCCCATCCCAATGACAGAGGACTTCAATCGTCCTTCTCCTTCCCGCTCACACTACCTCTCCCTCCTTCTCACACTACCTCTCCCTCTCCCTCTCTCTCTCTCAGACTTCCTCTCCTTCTCGCTTAGACCACCATCCACCTAGAGCGGCGATGGCGAGCTCCGAGCAACGACGGCAAGCGGCAAAATTGAATAGAAAAGCCAGACAATCTTGAAAAACAAGGAATCGGGTATGTTTTCGAAGAATTACATCTTTCTTTTTCTCCATTCTCAATTTTTATGATGTGAGCAGGGTTTTGCTCCCTGTCCTTCTCTCTCTCATACTACATCTCCTTCTTGCTCAGACCACCATCCACCTAAAGCGGCGATGGCGAGCTCCGAACAACGACGACAAGCAGCAAAATTGAATAGAAAAGTCAGACGATCTTGAAAAACAAGGAATCGGGTATGTTTTCGAAGAATTACATCTTTCTTTTTCTCCGCTCTTAATTTTTATGTTCAATTTTTATGATGTGAGCAGGGTTTTCTCTTATTAGGGTTAGCTCTTGTCATTGTTAATTTTGTTTGAATTATTTAAAAATTGAATTGAATTATTTTCACTTCTCCATATTCTTTTCAATTCCAATGGAACCGAAGGATCCATTCTCTGATGTATTATTCGATAGTAGGCTATTTTCGTCCATTTTGTTATTGCTATTGGTGTTGGTATATCAGGGATTGCAGCTGCACGAATTCTGGGTTTTTTGGGTTTTTTTTTATTTTAGTTTTGAGTATGTTTTCTTTTCTTTTTTTGTGTTTGAATACAAGTAGGTTGAAGAGCTGCATAAAGGACAGCCACAAGGGCAAAGCCATACAAAGCAGAGTTTCCAACACCACGATGTCAACCATTTTGCCTGTGAGTATTAGATTCCTTTTTCCATTTCCATGCCCCTTGATTGGTTTTACAATTTGGTCACTTTTTAAAGATGTATTTGTAAGAATATGAACATGAGATTGGGTGTTTTTTACAGTGAACGGATAAGTCCAATTAGAATAAGAAAGCCTTATGAGAAGCTGTGAACAAATCCTTGTTTGTGAAGGATTCTGTCAAGAATACTTGAACTGATATGGTTTGGAAAACATAAGTTGTTTTCTATAAGGATTGTAATAGGAAATCCTTGTCAAGTTATAAGAAGGATATATATATATATATATATATATATATATATATATATATATGTATGTGTGTGTGTGTGTGTGTGTGTGTGTGTGTGTGTGTGTGTGTGTGTGTTTATATATATATAAATGTTGTAACCTCTACTCTCACAGATGTGTGCTCAGTTAGATCCGAGTCCTATTCTTGGTTAGAGCTTAAATCAATCTGACAGAGAGGAGAAGGATTGCAACACCGAGACTGAATGGTAGCAGTTATGGCATATTCCAATGGCAGTTCATCAGGTTAGTGGTATTGCAGAGTTCTTTATTTATTTATATAAAAGGTTTCATGCTTTCTTGATTGTGATTTCTGTGACTTAAATCTTGTTCTTGGCAATATAAGTTTACAGTATTGTGTTCCATTTTTTTTGGGAGTTGTCAAGATTTTAGTAATCAACTCGTTCCATTTTTTAAGATGTATGCCCATATAACGAAAGCTACCATGTTCATATGTTTTCCAAAATATCTCGTATCTCATAATCTATGGGTCATTTGTGTGCAGGATGTTCATTACGAGGACAAGGATGGAAGTACAGGCTAATCCTGGCTATCACTGACGGGTCTCTAATGCCTAGAGTTGAAGGAGTTGATGTCTCTATCTGATATAAATAATGTCTTTGTATATGCTGATGACTATGGTCTAATATGGACATAGATTGTTTCTCAAATTGGTATGAAAGGGTCTTAGTTTCGTTTATAATTTTGGGTTGGAATCTATAAATCCATAACGAGTAAGAGACTTATGTTTTGTATTTGTATATTTTGATAGCCTCTTTCAAATCCTCTCTATAAGTCAAACAGAGTTTACAACCTTATGTATTCTCAAGGAAAACATTTTTGTTTTCATGTACATATGAAAGTGTTTTTCTCCTTTATTTAGTTTTACTTAATTAGGGCATTGTCATTTGTGTATGTGGTCAGAGTGTTATGTGTATTGATGCAGAGCTACATTGAGATACCTACAGAGGAGTACATGAGAAAATCAACATATGAAACCAGTTTGGCTCCTTAGTAGTACATGAAAAATAAGACGTTTAGTGAAGGGAAATTTTGTCGTTTGCTGAACAAAAACCAAAATAGCAATAGCAATCTCCAAAATTATCACCAAAGTAGCACTTGACTTGTGATATCCCTTCAGTCACACTTGTTTAATACAGTACAAGTTCAACAAAATGATTACAACATCTCCAATTCAATAGAAATTGCCTCCATGGTCTTTATCTTCTCATTTTCCAAGCCCCTTGTTTGCACTGTTACTTTGTGAAAGGTCATGATGGTGCATTATAACTTCCTATAAATTACAAAACAAATTATATTATATAAAATCATTCCTAAAAACAATAAGAAGCAAATTGACTTGACCTATTAAACACATGGCTCAAATTTTTGGCAACATTTTGATAAATATGCCAAACACACAAGTGATGGTGAGATTCATTAAAAACTTCTGATATTGCTTTAGCCATTGCAGCAGATTGATCTGTCAATATGGTCTTTGGTTGCTTCCCAGACATTGCTTCCAAGAAAGTCTCAAATAGCCATGTAAAAGAATCATCACTTTCTTCATATAGCAAAGCTGCACCGAAAACTATGGTTTGTTTATGATGATTAACACCAAGAATTGGTGCAAAAGGTTTACCATACTCATTTGTCCGATACGTTGTGTCAAAACAAATGACATCTACAAAGAGACCATAATCAATTATTGAACGTGAATCTGCCCAAAACATATTTTTGATCATATCATCTTCATCAAGCTGCACCGAGTAAAAACTAGACGAGTCCTTCACTTGCATTTTATGAAAATATTGCAATATAGCCCCAGCATCTCCTTTTTCCATGTTTGTCTTTCGCTTTTGATATATGTAATTTCGATAATCTTTATCAAGAAACCCAAGATTCTCTCGCCCACCAACTTCTCTGCTCATCAATTCCATAGTTGCTTTTATTTATATTCATGACTTATCTGCATCATCAACATGCGCCTTTTGAGCTCAGGACATCTTCCGATTAATCTTCAACATGTGCTTCATAGGGGTTCGAACCAAAGCACGATTATGATTTGCATCAAAGGAAACAATCTTAAATTTTCCATTCTTTTTAAGAAGGCAAGTCATGTGGGCTTGACAACCGACCCTTGAAACTGGTTGAGTATAAGTTGTACCTTTAATTGGCTCATCATTTCTTCGAAAACCTTGTCTTGAACAAGTGTAAGTTACTCTTGTTACAATTCCTGCATTGTTTTTTTTCCAATGATGCTTCCTCACGTCAAAACCCTTATCTCTAGCATAGTTGCAGTAAACATCGTATGCGCTCTCTTTAGAACAAAACTCCATTCCAAGTTCTAGATCTCCCATTATTTCTTTGCTTTTATTCAACTGAGGAGGTCCCAAAGAACCATCATGACTTTAAGATTGACAAGTAGGTGAAGAACTTACACCTTGTAAATCATCTTCATCACTAGGTAATGACTCATTGTCTGATCTTGTAGGTTCTTCGTTCTCCATAACCTGCCACATAACATTAATACTAGAGACATGAAATATGCTCTCCATTATTCATTTGCTTTTATTTTGTTGCATCTCAATATGGGACGAAACAGAGCACACTCAATACAAATATTGCAATTTTCAAATCCAAAGCCGCAAGCTTTGTGAAGAAAAACAAGCATCCAAAATTTCGAATGCAAATTCAAATCATACAACACTGAAAACATACCATCAAATACAACAGAGAATGGATCATCTGGATAGGTGCCTAGGTGGATGGTCGTTGTTGTTGTTGCTCAGAGTTCGCCGTCGCTGCTCTGGGTGTATGATGGTTTGAGCGAGAATGGGAGGTAGTCTGAGAGAGAGATGGAGAAGGAGAAAACCCTGCTCACATCATACCAACACCAATAACAATAACAAAATGGACGAAAATAGCCTACTATCGAATAATACATCAGAGAATGGATCCTTCGGTTCCATTGAATTGAAAAGAATATGGAGAAGTGAAAAGAATTGAATTCAATTTTCAAATAATTCGAACAAAATTAACAATGACAAGAGCAAACCCTAATAAGAGAAAACCTTGCTCACATCATAAAAAATTAAAAATCGAACATAAAAATTGAGAATGGAGAAAAGAAAAATGTAATTCTTCGAAAACATACCCGATTCCTTGTTTTTCAAGATTGTCTGGCTTTTCTATTCAATTTTGCCGCTTGTCGTCGTTGCTCGAAAGCTCGCCATCGCCGCTCTAGATGGATGGTGGTCTGAGCGAGAAGGAAAGGTAGTCTGAGAGAAAGAGGGAGGGAGAAGGAGAGGTAACGTGAGCGGGAGGGAGACGTAGTGTGAGCGGGAAAGAGAATGATGATTTAAGTCCTCTGTCATTGGGATGGGAGAAGAAGACGCCGTTAACTAGGCTCAGTTCTTTTTTGAAAAAAAAAAGTTACACGTGTTAAGTTCTTATTGTGCCACGTTTGGGCAGTATGAAGGGTTCTGACTGTTCAGGACTCAAGTATTGTCCTTATTTTTATAGTTTTGTTTACGATCCCCCTTTTTTTATTCTTTATTTTTTATAGTTTTGTTTTGTCAAAGTGGAAATGATCCCCCTTTTTTTATTCTTTATTTTTTATAGTTTTGTTAAAAGCAAGATCTTAAAAGACGTTAAGCGGATGTTGGGTTGAGACTTAGCACTTAGACGGTCTAAACGGATTTGAGTATATTAATTATATAATATGTAAATTAGTTAAATTTAAACATTAAATAATATGTCATTTAAAAATGAAAGTATATATACATATACACAGTGGCGGATTCAGAATTTTAAACTCGGGGGGTCCCAATAACAAAGGTAAAAAAATTTATAGATTAAAATGACATTTAAAAGTTAAATTATAGTACATTTTATTGATGAATCATACGTAAAACAACATTACAAGCTATAAAATCTAATTCAAGCATCTACAATGAAGTTTCATAGTCTAAAAATGTTCCATTTGCAAATATACTCTTTGAATCTCAACTTGAATATTAGGAGGATAATCCTTCATTCAGATTCTTTTTCCAGGGTCTCTCTCAAGATTATTCAAATTAATATCACACTCATTTTGTCTTGAACTTGAACTACCCAAACAAATAGATCGTGTTATTGGTTTTGGCTTGAAAAATCTTTCCATATTTCTTATCTATACACTACATATTAATAACAAAACACAAAATCATATACCAATTAATCAATAAACAAAATTCCAATAATCAAATGAGTATACAAAAATAAAACATATCAATAATAGATTATAAAATCTCCATCAATATATAATATAATTTAGTTGAGATTGGATTAGAATACCAAAAAATCTTTTTTGAATTTTGAACCAAATGGTGGTGGTGTGGAGATTTAAAACAAATTGAGATATGATATTGGAGTAAAATTAAAATATGAGATTGGGTGGGATTTTAGGATTATGAGAATAGGGAAATTGAGGATTGGATATGTGAAAATTGGGGGTTTCAGGTTTTGGATGGGAGAAGGGATGGTAAGGTATGGGGATTCAGGAAGAGTGACGGAGGCCTTGGGGAATTAAAACAAAATGGAAGAAAACGGCAGCGTTTTACCGTTGTTTAAACTTAAATAAAAAATAAAAAAATAAAACGACTTGGGCCAAGGTTGAAATGGGCAAATTTTCTTTCTTCCTCTGCGCGGTCTTCTTCCCCATCATGACACTGCTGCTGCAACTATAACTGCACATAGTTCATCCGAGTACGAGGGGTCCCCGGAAAATTTCAAGCAATCATTCAGGCGTCTTCGAGGGGTCCTGGGACCTCCCAGGTCCCTCGGTGGATCCACCACTGCATATGCAGTATGAGAGTTTTAGGTACATAAGAAAATATTATGGACTTTATAGTATAGTCTTAATGTTAAAAAGAATATTAAAAAAATAGAAATGGGCAGAATACAAGTCTAGCATCAGACTTGTGTGGAATAGATTTGCGTTTCCAAGTCAACAACTTGGAAGCAATTCCATAAAAAGAATAAAAATATAAAAAGCAACTTGGAAGTAAATCCAAGGCCACTTAAGACACTAATCTCTAATATTTTTTAACCTGAATCAAAATAATCTACACTATTTATGAAATTACACCAAAATAACTTTCATTATTTTTGAAACTGAACCAAAATACTTACACTATTTCTGAAACTGAGCCAAAATAATCCACATTATTTATGGAACTACTACAAAATAACTCGTACTATTTATGAAATTGAACCAAAATAACATGCACTAAATATGGAAGTGAACAAGATAAACGATATTTCTGAAGTTACAAACTATTTATGAAACAAAATAAAATAATCCACACTATTTTTGGAGTTACAATAAAATAACCCACACTATTTCTAAAATTGAACCAAAATAATCCACACTATTTCTGGAACTACTACAAAATAACTCACATTATTTATGAAACTAAACCAAAATAATCCACATTATTTCTGAAACAACAGCAAAATAACTTACGCTATTTTTGAAACAGAACCAAAATAATTCATAGTATTTCTGTAAGTGAACAAAATAAACACTATTTCTAGAAATACAACAAAATAAGAACGAGGTTGAACGACAAACACCCAAAACAAACCCAAACAAAAATCCCTTTTCTTTTCCAAAACTAAAAACAAAAAGAAAATTAATTACCAAATAACCGTTACTGTGCCAAATGTAGAGAGAAACAGAGATTAAATGGGGGAAATTCCATTTCTGAAAAATTGTTGCAAAAATATACATAATTTTAGAATTTAATAAATTAAAAAGTTCGGGAGGAGTTGCAGAGAATTAGAAGCTTCTGTTTCTCGTCACTTTGGGTGCATGAAAGCTTGAACATTGCCTTGATCATCTTTTAGTGGTCTACCTAATCAAAAAATGCTTGAGTGTCCTCGTGGTAACAATACGATCCCACGCGGCCCTCCCTCACTTCATTAGGCAAGACTGAGATAAAACGGGGTTCGTGCTCTGCCTTAATGGCGGTGATGATTCATTTGGTAAAATCGTAATATTTGTGAATTGACTAATTGGCTTGGGTTAGGCTCTATTAGGGATAATTATAGAAAAAAGTATTTTATTGCAGGTTGGGCTCTAATTCGGCCCGTGTTTTTAATATTTGTAAGGTTGGTATATGAATAGTTGTGATCTTACGGCTACATCTTAAACTTTTATTAATCATAAAAGTTTAAGGTGATTTTTTAGATCACAACTATTCATATACCAACTCTAAGATCACAACTATTCGTTAATCCAAACAGCTTTTTGAAATTGTGAAAAGTCATTTCGCCACACTCTCTTCTTGTGCTGGTGTGACAAGAGCATGATTTTCTGAATGCTCCCATTAAAAAGATGGTGGGGACCAGCTCGATTCATCTTCTTCCCCCCGCAACCCCGACTCTGCAACAAAAATATTTCAGAATCCGGCGTCTTAAATTTCCCCCGCCTAGCCGCCGTCGAACCCCGCCCAGACTTGCATAGCTTCCCCTAGTCCCGCCTAATCCCGCCTAAAATGCTTTCCGATTTTGTGGCCGCTTAGAAGTTAATCGCGGCGGTCGGCCACCGTCCAGCTCCTAGGCCCGGACCATGTTGAGCCCACCCAAATAACCCGACGGGCCCCCGTCTCGATTCGCTCTCGTGCTGGTCAAGTGTAAAACTGTAAAAACTCCATGGAAGAGCTTCTGCGCGCCTTTTCATCCTTTTGAGACATTATACTTATCAAAAGAGCAGAGCAATATGGTTGCCACTTGCAAGTCTACACTCCCAAAACGCAGCGTTCTTCTCATCTCTCTCCTTAATCCTCACACTGGTATTCTCTCTCTCTCTCTGTATTTCCTACAGTTTTAGGCAGGTAGGTTGTATTTTCCGAGAAAATTATGTTTGGCTGCTGAGAAACCTGACGAAAATAATAGAAAAGGAGACACATCGGATTTGGTGGGGTGTATTAAATAGTCAATGTCTTAATTTTAATTTCTGTAATGTTCAATGAGTTCTTTGAATTAAGGCCAGCAATTTGCAGTTACATTGAAATCAAAGGATTTGGGAAATTAAAACCTAATTGAAATTGTATTTTGTCTACCTAATTTCGTGTTCGTTGTCTTGTCTGTTTAGTTAAATACTGAAATTTGTAAGTGTTTGGTTATTTGAAGTGAAAATCTTCTGATTAAAAGTTATTAGCTTTAGTTGATCTCTTACGTTTTTTCGGCATTTATGTGCCCATTGGATTGGAGAACAGGATGACTGCAAAGGTTGGTACTGCATCCACAGTCGAACCTCGCACTGCTGAGATGTCTGGTACAACGATGACACCTGCATCATCAGCTGGTACACAAAAGGTCTCCATGTTTGCTGCCAAGGCTGGATTTGTTATACCAAAAAACAAGCTGTTGGGTTCACTTGTGCCTGTCTTTCGCGGAAGTAAAAACCTAGGAACCGGTGACGCAGTTAGTGGAGAAAGTAAGAAACAGATTCAGAGGAAAACAAAATGGGGCCCTGATCTCACCCAAGATGCTTCTGTCAAAAAAGGAAGAGCTTTAGCTTATCAGGTATTGTTTGGATTGTTTGCAAGTCCTGTTCTGGTCATATTTCGTTTGATACTATGTTATTTCGTAGTTCTAAGATCAAAATTTGTTCTTGGTTTATGTATCTTTTTCCCACTTCACCCGCTTTTATGTTTGCAAATGTCAAACGTCTCTAATATGTTCCCATCCTCATATAGTTTAGAAATTCAAATTTATGGTTTGGAGGCATTCTTCGCCCCCCTTGTGGGAGGAATAAATATTTCCACCTAGTGGAAGTTCATTGTTTCCCTTTTACGTTGGGTATTAAAATGCTGGTTGTGTCTTCTGTGTGAATGTTTCACATGGAAACCTCCCATTCCAGGTGCCACTAAGTGATATTACTGCCTGTTTGGTGGTACAAATTTTGAGTAGACTCGGGTGGAACAAATTACACAACAGTTGAAATCAGAAATGTTAGAGGATGAGAATGATGAGGACTTACTATCAGCACCTCAACATACAAGCTTCAACAAAAGAAAATTCAAAGAACTTAGCGAAGAAGGCTTTGGTGTATTTAACACAATACGTTGAAATGAAGGAAAGCTTATTTATTGATATCCCCGATAAGCTACAAATATGTACATATACAAGAGTCAAAATAAACACACAAGAGGGAGCCTTCACAAAGGTTGCTTAGGAGAAGTCTTAGCAGTCGGTAGAGCCCCAGAAAGAGAAGGCACCGGAGGGGGATCATTTGGAGCCTCAGTACTGGACAGAACCCTAGAAGGAGGAGGCATCAGAGGTTGATCATTTGGAGCTTCATTACGCGGTACAGCCCCAGAAGACGAAGGCAATAAATGCCTTTGGAACAAACCCACAAATCTCTGATGATCAAGTAAAACCTGACCATCAGTTTCCTTCATCTGGTCAAGCTTCCTCTTCATGTTTGTAGCATAGTCATGTGCGAGCCGGTGCAACTGTTTATTCTCATGCTTGAGCCCTCTAATCTCCTGTTTGAGACTCATCACTTCAGCCGCCAATGATTCAACTTGGCGGGTTCGAGCAAATAGGCGTTGGGCCATATTAGACACAGAACCTGCACACTGAACACTGAGAGCCAGCGAATCCTTAACAGCTAACTCATCAGACCGTTTGGAAAGTAGTCTGTTATCTTTGGGAGTGAGAAGGTTCCTGGCCACCACCGCAGCGGTCATATCATTCTTCATCACGGAATCCCCAACGGTAAGAGGACCAGTAGGGGAGACGAAGGATGGGCGCCATATGTTGTCTGGAGAAGGCGGGGCTGCCTCTTCAACAAGGTTCAAGTCAAAACGACGGTCGGAGGGGCCAGACATTTTCAAAGGTGTTGAAGAGAGAAGAGGTCGGACAAATCAAGATCTTAGAAGTGCAAGAATGAAGCTTCTACTGGTGGAGATTCAAGTGTGCTTTGGAACTTAATGCCAGCCCTTATAAAAATCTGCACTCGACGGAGCTTCAGAAATCGAAGAGGCGCCTGCTCAGAAATCGAAGAGGCGTTTGCTTTCTCAAAAGCTGGGCTGCTTAGAGATCACGAGGGTTGATCTCAGAAATCGAAGAGGCGTTTGCTTTCTCAAAAGTTGGGCTGCTCAAAGACCACGAAGGCTGGATCTCAGAAATTCGAAGAGGCGCTCGCTTTCTCAAAAGCTGGGCTCCCCAGAGACCACGAGGGCCGATCTCAGAAATCGAAGAGGCACCTACTTTTCCAGCCTTGTCAGCACCTGTCACACGCACACTCAGCTTTGCGGAAATTATGGGCATTCTGTCGAAGACTTCTGGGGAAGTAGAAAACACATGAATCTTACTGTTCAATCACCCACTTCCCACACGCAACAATAGCTCATGGGTACCACAGATAACTTTGCCAAAGTTCTCTGCCAAAGTTGAGCACGTGAAGCTTGCAGCTCCCACTACATCGCTCTGACCAAGAAGGGTAAAAGAATAGCAAAGAAACAGCACTAACAAAGTTTAGACCCATAAATTTTGAAGGTCTAGCTACCATATTATTACCCACAAGGGTAAAGGAACAGTACCACTGCTGGATAATTGGACAGTCCCTGTGTGTCAACCTCTGTGCTTCGTGGCAAGGTAGACTAGCAAACATGCCCAACCTTTACTCACATTCGAGAAAAACACTCCCAATAAGATTGCTTGCTCCAAAATCGAAGAGGCACCGTCCTCCGAATCTCGAGAGCCAGACTCCCAACATGACTACTTTCTTAAAAATCGAAGAGAGGGTAAAGGAACAGTACCATTGCTGGATAATTGGAAAGTCCTTGTGTGTCAACCTCTGTGCTTCGTGGCAAGGTAGACTAGCAAACATGCCCAACCTTTACTCACATTCGAGAAAACACTCCCAACAAGATTGCTTGCTCCAAAATCGAAGAGGCACCGCCCTCCGAATCTCGAGAGCCAGACTCCCAACATGATTACTTTCTCAAAAATCGAAGAGACACTGCTCCCCGAATCTTAGAGAGCCAGACCCCCAGCGTGACTGCTTTCTCAAAAATCGATGAGGCATCGTTCTTCGAATCAATCGAAGAGGCGCTCGCTTTCTCAAAAGCTGGGCTGCTCAGAGACCACGAGGGCCGATCTCAGAAATCGAAGAGGCACCTACTTTTCTAGCCTTGTCAGCACCTGTCACACGCACACTCAGCTTTGCAGAAATTATGGGCATTCTGTCGAAGACTTCTGGTGAAGTAGAAAGCACATGAATCTTACTGTTCAATCACCCACTTCCCACACGCAACAATAGCTCATGGGTACCACAGATAACTTTGCCAAAGTTCTCTGCCAAAGTTGAGCACGTGAAGCTTGCAGCTCCCACTACATCGCTCTGACCAAGAAAGGTAAAAGAATAGCAAAGAAACAACACTAACAAAGTTTAGACACATAAATTTTGAAGGTCTAGCTACCATATTATTACCCACAAGGGTAAAGGAACAGTACCACTGCTGGATAATTGGAAAGTCCCTGTGTGTCAACCTCTGTGCTTCGTGGCAAGGTAGACTAGCAAACATGCCCAACCTTTTACTCACATTCGAGAAAACACTCCCAACAAGATTGCTTGCTCCAAAATCGAAGAGGCACCGTCCTCCGAATCTCGAGAGCCAGACTCCCAACATGACTACTTTCTCAAAATCGAAGAGAGGGTAAAGGAACAGTACCATTGCTGGATAATTGGAAAGTCCCTGTGTGTCAACCTTTGTGCTTCGTGGCAAGGTAGACTAGCAAACATGCCCAACCTTTACTCACATTCGAGACAACACTCCCAACAAGATTGCTTGCTCCAAAATCGAAGAGGCACCGCCCTCCGAATCTCGAGAGCCAGACTCCCAACATGATTACTTCCTCAAAAATCGAAGAGACACTGCTCTCCGAATCTCGAGAGCCAGACCCCCAGCATGATTGCTTTCTCAAAAATCGAAGAGGCATCGTTCTCCGAATCTCGAGAGCCAGATACCACAGACCACTTTTTCAAAGTGCTCTGACAGAGTTAAAACATGTGAAACTGGACAGCTCCCACTACCGTGCTATGACCAAGCAGGGTAAAGGAATAACATTACTACTTGTTAGGGAGACTCCTATATATGTCGACCTCCATCCCCAACGGACAGGCAGACCTGCAAAAATGCTCAACCCTTCATCATATCTGAGAGGGCACTCCCAACGAAGCCTTTCGAAATATTCAGCTTTCTTTCCCCCCGATAATACCTCTGCAAACAAGCTATACTAGAGCAAGAATATCTCATATCATCAGGGTTAAAAGCAAGAGTATCCCATATCATGCTTTTTCCCTGTCTTTTCCTTTGGCCTTGTTTTTACCTGCAAGACAAGGAGAAAGAGAGCAATCAGTCAGCACTTGGAATCAAGCTTCCAGCCAGGAACTGACTGCCTGGAACCCCTTACCTGATTACTTACCTGGCATTGCTCTCGAGTACTCATCTTCAACATCTTATGTTTCCAGGGAAGATTCCGCATCTGCTTGAGGAACAGATAGGGCAAGTGCGAAGGATACAAGGAAGCATGTGGAGACAAGCGTAACAGCACACGTGCCGATACATCCATTACTCTGTCAAAAGCAAAAGTATCCCATATCAGCAGGGTGGAACGTACTCTAGATTTGATGGACTTGTTTTGACCCTCAAATTCTTCAGTCGGCCTTATACTCTGGAGGAAACCAGAAAACCCTCCAGCTCAGTTCAAGAATAAGCCTGTGGAAAGTTACTTCTTCAAAAGCAAAAGTATCTCATATCATCTCTTCTCATTTTTCTTCTCTTTATCCTTCATGCTGCTGCAAGATGGGGAGAAGGTGAACAATCAGTCGGAGCTCTGATTGCTTACCTTGTCTGTCACCTCTTTCAGCAGACCCCCTAGCTCGGCGACTTGGGGGACTCCTACTACATGGTTTGTATCGCGCTTGACCAAGCCTGAAACTACAAGTAAGCTTCAAGTGAAATTGATACATTACCTTGTGCATCTCCACCAGTTAAAGATACCACCCCTGGATGGAGGAAGAGTACTTCCAGAGAAGATGCCACATCTACCTATGAGACAGATAAGGCAAGTCAAGACGACTACCACACTCCGATACTTAGAAGTTTCGTGATTACGAGATCATTCTCCCACAATATTTCCTTAATGTCATTTGTACTAAATCATTCACTTGTACTCACTAAAGGAGAGCTTGAACCTATGTACTTGTGTAAACCCTTCACAATTAATGAGAACTCTTCTATTCCGTGGACGTAGCCAATCTGGGTGAACCACGTACATCTTGTGTTTGCTTTCCTATCTCTATCCATTTATATACTTATCCACACTAATGACCGGAGCAATCTAGCGAAGATCACAAAAAGCGACCGTTTTCGCTACCTAGGATCTATCTTGTAAGAGAACGGAGAATTAGATGGAGATCTCAACCATAGAATACGAGCTGCATGGATGAAGTGTTAGAATGCATCCGGCGTGTTGTGTGACCGTCGTAGGCCACTGAAGCTCAAGGGAAAATTTTATAGGACGGCAATAAGGCCAGCGATGTTGTATGGCACAGAATGTTGGGCGGTGAAGCATCAACACGTACACAAAATGGGTGTAGCGGAGATGAGGATGCTTCGTGGGATGTGTGGGCACACGAGAAAGGATAAGATTGGGAATGAGGATATCCGAGGTAAAGTAGGAGTAGCCGAAATTGTAGGAAAGATGAGAGAAAATCGGCTCCGGTGATTTGGACATGTGCAAAGAAGGCCGAATGACGCTCCGGTTCGAAGATGTGACTACGGGACAGAGGTTCAGGGCCGAAGGGGTAGAGGAAGACCTAGGAAAACTTTGGAAGAGACTCTAAGAAAAGACTTAGAGTACTTGGATCTAACGGAGGACATGACACAAAACCGAGCGCAATGGCGTTCTAGGATTCATATAGCCGACCCCACTTAGTGGGAAAAGGCTTTGTTGTTGTTGTTGTTGTTGTTGTTATTCTTGATTACTTTTGTTTCTATGTTGAATGATGTTTCTATTCTTAAGCACTGATGATAATATTCGTCAATGTAGGACGTTGACCAGTTGGAATTTGAAAAGCGGGAAGCCATAGGTGTGTATGACAGCTTTCTTAGATTATACCTTTCTGTATGTTATATTATAGATTGCATGATTATTGTTTTCTTGACGATATTCAGGTGAGATTTAAAGTTAAATCCAAGCTACAAGGCCCCACCTGATTATAAACCTTTGTTGAAAGAGGCTACAGTCCCTATTCCTGTAAGTTTATCTTCTCATTCTGCAATCCTCTGCAACTTTTTCCTAATTAACTGTTTTTTTAAGATGTGTCCAAACTGCTGAGATAATATAAGTTAGTTTATCATGGTGTGAAAATGTTCTGTCAATTTTAGTTGTATTGATTTAAAATAAAACTTATCCAAGAAAAACATGTATGTGGAATTTCAACCTGGACTCATAAGTGGTAGTCTTATCGTACACTTCTACAATGATACGTATGGACCTGAAATCTGAACAGGTTGGCCGTAATTTGGAGTTGAGGGGTGGTGAAGAAGGGGCCTCAGAGTACTACGTGAATTCGAAATAACTGGTTAAAGTTATGCAACTTATGGCTAGAGTCCCTATTAATCTGGTGGAATAGTTTAGATTTACTCATTTAAGCGTATTTAGCATTGCTTTTTTAGGTTGGTTGTTTGCGATACTGGTGTTGGTTTGAATCCTGATAATATTGATCGTAAGTTCACATAAATAAGAATTATTTGGTTGTTTTAAGAACTGTCACCCAGTGGCTAGGTTGTAGAGAGCTTGTGTTGCGAAAACAGTCCATCTAGAAGGACGGCTATTGTTGCCCATATTTTACCTCCCTGAACCCGCATTCCGGGATCCACATGCATTGAAATGCCTTTCTAGGAATTTCTAGTATGAGTTGACATGTCATTATTTCACAAAGAGGTGAACGGACTGTGGATACAACTATTTTATTACTAAGAGTAAAGAATGCAATGGGTTGGTATGTTTGTTTACCATTACTTTTATAAGGTTTCCTTTGGCCAGGGGTGGAGGGTGGGACCTAAGACGCGAGCATATATTATCCAATTTCATGGTTTGCTGAGTCGGCCAGTATTTGAATTCTGATGCTTAGATGTTTTAAAATGCTTTTCAGGTGAAAGAATATCCTAAATATAATCTTGTTGGCCTAATATATGGTCCTGAAAGTGATAACCAGAAACAATTAGAAAAGGTAAGAGTTTTGTGTGTGCTTATGACGATTATGCCAAACACTCGTGATTACCATGTGCATGTTCTGATGATCTTCGCGTCGTGTGTGTTTTCTCTATATTTCTTTTTGATTGGTCAATGCAAATAAGGAAACCGGAGCCAAGATTCAAGTCTATGGTACCAAAGCAGGGACAGGACACAAGGTAATATTTCAATAAATAATATAGAACGGTAAGGAATCAATATCATGATAAATTTGAGAGTCCTGACTCCTCATCATCAATTTTACTGATTTTCATCTTTTCTTAAACATATTATTTTAACCCAAAAAAAAAAAAAATCTATTGTGGAATGGTTGCTTCGAGATGTGCATAATGCTCATGTAGTATTGACCTTCCCCTTTTTATTCTTTAACTTATTTGCAGGCTGAAATAAAACCATCTGATGGGAGTGAAATCCATGGTGAATATGAAAGCTTATATGTTCATATATCAGTTGACACATATGAGAAAGTAGATGCAGCGGTTGCTGTAATTGAACTCTTAGTCACCTCTGTATCAGTGAGTTTCCTTTTTATTTCTAAACAAAAAGCTTTAAGTCCAACAGTTTCTTAAAATTTCTCTTTCGTGCTATTTATTATGATTTCTACAGTTGTTCTCTTAGCATTGTTCTTTTAATTACTTCCATATAGGGAAATCTGGCAGCGGTTAGCAGTACAGGTGCTTCAGTTTCTGCTGATAATGCTCATGTTCCTAGTCAAGTCCAGGACACTACCACCTCTAATATGGTTCCGACTACTGTGGTAAATCAGGGAATGGTACAACCATTGCCAGGACTTGCACAAACTCCACTGGATGGGCAGTTTCAGTACCCTGGTCCATTTCTCTCGAGGGGCCCATCTTCCGCTCCCATGTATATGCCTGGCTTCGCTCTGAATTCTTTGAGACCTATCCTCAACAATCCTTCCCATATTTCAACATCACTTTTCAACCCTGCGTACCTGCCTTCATCATTTGGGCTTCCGCCATCTCTTGTTTCCCCTAGACAAAATCCACCAACACCACAATTTTTGCCACATACATATATGGCTTCCCAGCCTGCATCAGTTCAAACTAATGTTTCAGCTCCACTCACAGTCATGCGAAACCGACCACTGCCTGCTGAGAGCTCTACTGGATGATCAAGCGGTCCACCAGTTCCACAACCAGGTGTTGCATCCATGCCACCACCTTCAAATATATCAACGGCGAATATGGTGTCTTCTGTAAACCCTCCTATTGCAGCTCCAAGTTTTATTTCTATTCCACGGCCTCAAGCGGGACTTCCTTCTACATCTCTATCCACATCTCTGCAAGCAAGAGTTCCAAGTTCTGTTTCTGGAAGTGTTCCAAATTTCGCTCCCCTAAAACCACCAATGATGACGGCTCAAAGCCCTGGCGATTTCACTTTTCAGCCTCATCGACCACAGAATCCATCCTTCCAAACAGTTCCCCAGCCAAGCAGTCACTTTTCAGCACATAACGCTTCTCTTGCCAGACCAATGTTGCCATCTCCAACACCTCAAGCACCGTCTTTCCAGTTTCCTCAGCCGGGCAGTCAGGTGTTATCGAGACCACAACTCGGTGACCACATGGGTCAGCATCCATCAGCTCATATGTCTGCTGCTCCCTATGCCAGAAATTCAACTGCCATCTCAGTTCCTCCTAGACTCGCAACATTTCTAGAATCCAGTACCGTTCTACCTCGGACGCCACACCCACCAATGAGACCGAGTAACTTCAATCCACCTCACCAGATGCCCAATTTGCCAGGTCCTCTGCCTCCAAGGCCAGGAAATTATATTCAAATTCAGCAAAACTATCCTGCTCACGCAACTCGACCTGAGATCCCACGTGCTCCAAATCAACAGTTCAGCAACCACCTTGCATTTTCCTCTGGCAAGTCGGCGTCTGGTCCTGGAGGAGGGCAACAACTGTATGATCCGTTCTCACCCACTTCCGCGAATCAACAGCAGGGAGGTAATCCAGGGAAGATGTGAAAGCAAGGGTTTGATCTACACTAATGCGATTTGATTGCCTTGGTTGGAGTTACAATTTCGGATTTAGTGAAACAGCTAACAAAACAAGAATTTGGAGTTGTTGTAGTCTATAGGTCATATTAACATGTTGCTGTTATCTGATTTCTGATAGGACACAACTTCTTCAAGAAACACATTTCCTTATCTTTTTATCAATCGATTTGTTTCCCCTTCGCTAAAAGAGTATGAAAGAGTACCACATTTATATTATAAATCAGTTAAAAGGGACCAAGCAAACCGAGCAATCCGGCGAGCTAATTCAGTAGGCTGGTTCTGTCAAAGCAAGATAGAACCAGCCCTACCGTGTGAGCCTAATGGAGGCCTTCCAAAGCAGCCACTCCTGAACAAGGTTTTAAAAAACGTTAGGTGCTAGTCAAGCGGCGGGTCGAGGCTTTTAGCACCTAAATGGGGGCTCAGAGGACTATACGGATTTAATTAAATTTATTATATAACATATAAATAGGTGCTTGTTTACACTCTAAAATATATATATTCTTGCATTGAGAATTTGAGAAAGTTAAAAATTTAAGCCATCAGGTCATTGACTACATATATACTTTCACACTCCACAAACCCCTCTTTTAATTAATTAGGCCAACACTATGGTTGGTTTAATCAAATATAAAATGGCATATATCCCACAACCTTAATTAATTCGTACATACATACCAAATCCCGTATTTCCATTGTGCCTTGCACTTTTTCCTGCTACTTTTCCATATCCATGGACGCAAAGGCTGTTTTTCCCATATGACTAACAAAACTCTCTGTCTCTCCAAGCTTACTTTTCTTTTGAGATTCAACATCAAGATTCGGTTCCTCCTCATCTTCTTCGCGTAGCCTTGTCAATGAAGAATACTCAACCTTTTCACTGTAAACCCTAACCAAAACCAAATAGAAGGACACCCCAAAAATGGCTATTCCCACCAAGAACCAACTAAATTCGAGGTTCACTAAGGACTTGGCTCTGTGAAGTGCCTCATCTCCATGGCACGTAACCACTTTGGGATCGTCCTCTAAGTTCATGAAGCAACCTTTTGGCATCAATTCAGGTGTCCAAAGCATGAACCCCATGACAATAAGCCAAGCACCTTGGGAAAATATGCTAAGTGACCTCACAAAGCTGACCAAAAAACTCTTAGGGAAACCAATTCCCATAAGGGTTGTGGCCAAAGAAACAAGAACCACAAGCTGCAGAAGCATGTGGTATTGGCCTTCAGGTCCCATGTGATCAGTAGAGTGAAGGTGAAAGAGAAGAAGCTGCTGCCCAAAGGCTATGGCTCCAAGGAGTTGGGTCAAACCATGTTGTGCTTTTGGGGCAATTTTGTCAAGAATGATAGCAAAAGCTGCATAGACCAAGAAGGCCATGGAGATTGAACAGTGCTCAAAGTTGCGGAGACGGTTGGTGGGGATGGTTCCATCGTCATCGAAGGGTTGGTGTTTCTCCGGGGCTATGAACAGTTCCGTTGCAATGAAGGCAAATGAGCCTCCCATGATTAAGAAGGGCTCCAAATACTTGAATTTGGTGGTGGGAAACCAGGTTGGAGATGCGTAGGAGTTTGGCTGGTAAAGATGGAGTTTAATGTGGTTGAAGAGGTGCCATAAGCCAATGAGAAGAAACCCAAGGCCTGGTGTTACATGTCCAACTAAAGTGCCCATTTCCAATTGCTTGGTTTGTGTTGGAGAGAGAGAGAGAGAGAGGTTTTTTATGTAGTTGGTGTTGTTTAAGCCTAGAGAGAGAGAGAGAGAGAGAGAGAGGTTTTTGATGTTGTTGGTGTTGTTTAAGCCGAGAGAGAGAGAGAGAGAGAGAGAGAGAGAGAGAGAGAGAGAGAGAGAGAGAGAGAGGTTGCTTATGTTGTTGGTGTTGATTAAGCCTAAAGGGAAAGAAAGGGAGGGAGGGAGGGCGAGAGAGAGAGAGGTTGTTTATGTTGTTGGTGTTGTTTAAGCCTAAAGGGAAAATAAGGGAGGGTGATGGAGAAGGGTGGCAAATGAGAGAGGGATTTTAAAGAGTTCAGGGAGGGGAATGGGGGTGAAATCCTAAGAAGTCTAAAGGCTTCCAAGCTTAGGAGAAGTTTTTTAATTTGTTGGGAACACGATTTGTTACCGTAAGTGAGAGGACTTTAAATGGGTAAACTGTCATTTGACCTTTTGAACTATTACTCCAGTTGAAATTGATCCTCGAACTATTTTTTTGGTAAATTAACCCCCTGAACTATTTGAAATAAGACAATTGACCCTTGTCGGTAGATTCCATCTACTATTTCATCAAATTCAAAGGAAAATTAGTATTTCCTTCATCAATTCTTACTTATCAACTATAACTAACAATGTACTTATGACATGTGAAAACAAAATAATGAGTAATGACAATGTGAGATAGTCCGTTATGTAAACGTTTGGTTTTTTATGTTTTCTCATTATGCTATATATTTTTGAATTATTTTGTGTCCATGTGTCAAAATTTTGTTGGTGTTTATAGATGACAAGTAATAATTAATGATAAAATGACTAATTTGCACCTTGAATTTGTCAGAATTGATTCTGCAATCTAATGGCAAGGGGTTAATTGACTAATTTTAAATAGTTCAGGGGTTAATTTACCAAAAAATTAATTTAATAAGTCAATCTCGACTGAAGTGATAGTTTAGGGACTCAAACCGCAATTTACCCACTTTAATTATATAGAAAGAAACATAGACTCAGTTACGATTCGCTAGGGCTCCATTTAGGTTAACTGTGGGTTTTGGTTGTTCTATTATGGGAGTGGCCTCTTAATCTGATAATCCTACTTCTGATATTCAGGACCAAAAGCAGTCCCTGAATAATTGATTTTTTTTAGATAACGTTTTATCGCATTGCCATCTAACAACTAACAACAATTAATTGAGTGATTCTTTGATGTGTCACTCATATTGCGTTACTATTCTCCTCAGCCTATAACACTTCGATTTGTTTTTTGCTAATATATTTGGAGTGAGACTTATCAACTTTTTCATCCACTTTTATCATAATATGTAGGATCATACATTACATGACTTGTATTTCTAACATCCATAAAACTTTCTACGAGTAATCTATGTATCTTCTATATCTTAATACAAGGATTCAAGCTAGCCAGAGTAACAAGCTACAAACCATATCACAATTCGGTTCAAATAAAGTTTTTCCGCCCTTATTAAGTTCCAAACCATTAAAAGAAGTGAAAACTTGAGATAACTTCAATTGGTTTAATTAGTCCACTGACTAGGCTTTCACGTCAGGTCCTAATGTCATGACTCATTATATATTTGTTCAATACCCAATCCGCCCTTTACGATTTTTATTATTATTTTATTCATACAATAATATATTTACACTATAGGTAAAGGAATAAATTAACTTCAAACTCATTATTTATGATAATTCGAGTTCACAAAGTAAGTTTCTACATCTTTCCAAGTAATCTGCTTAACAAAAGTAGTAAGAAACATAATACATAGTAATCATGAAAAACTGGCCTTTGTTTCACGGAAAGAAAAGTTTAAGGGTGAGTAGCTTTTCGCATCTTCCAGGAAGGAGCTCAAGTCTGGAAATATGTAGCCATATTTTAGTCTTCTTGCATGTACCATATTTTAGGCCATGCTTTACGTACGTATAAATATACAAAACAGACACCAACCTATCTTGGAAGACAAACATCCGCCATATGGGAAAACCCATTTATGTTTGGAAGCCCAGTCCTTGTGATTAAGACTCGCTAATCTTCGGTAGTCATAACCAAGATCCACATCCTCTTGATCTATTTCCCAGTGAAAAAACACATCCTCGACCTCTCATGAACGCTTTCACTTAAATCATGGATATAGGTGATTGTGAATCGATTCGTATCTACGTTATAAAATTCTTAATCGATGGATCATTCATCATGATTGCGATTTCGAGGACGAAATTTTTTTAACGGAGGGAAGAATGTGAAATCCCGTTCCTGGATTTCACTGTTATAATCTACGTATTTGTATTATTGAGATTTTATATTATTTCTCGAGAATTTATATTAATCTGTTTGAATTTAGATTTTAATTAAACAAGTTACGAAGTTTGACGTTTGGAAATTAATTATTTAAAATCCGTAGACCTTTCGAGGTCACAATTTATATTTTCGAATAGATCTTGAAACCATGAATGTATAGGCGAAAGCCGTTTGCGAGTTCGGATTATACGGTATAGTTACGAACATTTGAAGTTGTTTTACTAAACTATAGATTTTAAATCAATTAAACTTCCACAAGAAAGAAGCCTATTCAGATTTAAGCAAAAATAAGGGGACAAATCAGCTAAAAGGAGAAGGACCAATCAAATTAAAGGGGGAAGGTTTCAAAAAAAAAAAAAAAAAAAAGGGGGAGGGGTCTAATTCTAACCAATTTTGGGGGTCGTCAAAAACACAAATAGATTTTCTTCTAATGAGGAAAGGGGACCGTATAACTTATAAGGATTGCAAAGTTATACCGGGAGAGAGCTTGGCTAATCAACATCGCTTGTTGGTGATGGATGTACATATTAAAAGAGAGAGAGAGAAAAAAGAACAAGACTTGAAAGTGCCCAAGGACTAGATGGTGAAATCTAAAAGGAGAAAAACAAGTCATTTTCAAAGAGAAAGTAATCACCCAATGTGTGTGGGATAGAGAGGGGGAAGCTCGCCAAAGGTGGGATTCCATGGCTAGTTGTATCCGAAAAGTAGCAAAATAGGTATTAGGAGAGTCCAAGGGCTTTGCTCCACACCAAAAGGAATCTTCCAAGGGCTTTGCTCCACACTAAAAGGAATCTTAGTGGTGGAATGAGGAGGTACAAACAAAGGTGAAGGCTAAGAAGGAATGTTGTAAAGCCTTATACAAGGATAGGACCGATGAAAATGGTGAAAGGTATAGAAGAGCGAAGCAAGAGGCGAAGAAAGCTGTAAGAGAAGCTAAGCTAGCGGTTTATGA